GACTCGCCCCCCCCCCCCCCAGTGTCTCCATGCCACGGTCCACCGCAGCTTTGGCCAGCCTGCTCTCCCCAATGTGGTGTAAGTCAAGGCTACACAGTAACTTATTTATGAAACGGGTTTTGCTGACCGGCCTGTTGGATGACACCTGGTGCTGTACCAAGCATGGGCCTGGTCTCGAGACAGGAGACCTAATTTTCTGGCGATCTCATCTTGTACAATGAGTACTCTTTTGCAGCTAAGAATTTGCAGCTGGGAAGCAATTCCATAGCTCAGTCTTTGACCAGCATAGAGAATGAAGACGGGGCCAGTGACATTTTGGAAAAGCCCTCCAAGGTATGCCTGATTCCCTGTCCTCAGCACCGTGGTAATGGACGCGAGTCCCCTCTGACGAGTCAGGGTAAACAGTCCATCCCGGAAACCTGTCACACGGGAGTGGACATGGTAGACCCCCCTGGGGGCCGCCTGTGCCTGAGGTTCAGTGATTGGCCAGAAGGACCCACGGGCCCCAGAAAAGCTGTGACACTCCTGGTTACAGTTAATCACAGTGAAAGATGCAGATTAGTGTCAGCAAAGGAAAAGGTGCACAGGGCCGAGCCCAGGAGAAAAGCATGAGCATCTCGCTGTCCTCTTCTGTGGGGTGGGGGGGCTTAATCCCACCTGCAACTCCACGTGACAACACGCATCGTGCATGGCCCATGTAAGGCTGTGGCTGCGTCGTCAGGAATGAGGTCCAGGGCTGGCTTGTGGCCTAGTGGTGAAGGGGCCCAGACCCCACATGGCCCACATGGAGTTTGAATGCTGGCCCCAGTGTTGAACCAGGCTGGGTGCACGTGTGTGCCTCAAATTCTGACAGGTGGAGAGTGGAGGGATTGAAGTGTGACCACACCTCGCAGGGATGTCTCTCTGGGGAGTATGTGCGCCCTCTAGCACACACACACAAAGCGTTGAGATCGTCCAGGGTTCGGAGGTGAGCCAGGTATTCCAGGGTGTTAGGTTCTGTGGGTGGACGGGTGACTCTCAGGCTGACAGCGCTTTGTTCATGTTTCAGAAATCCATGAAGTACATTGTGGAGAAGATGTACCTCCACGTGCTCTGCACCCCGGTTCCTGAGGAGTTTCTGGACCAGAATGTGGTGTTTTTTCTCAGAAATACGAAAGGTCTATTTCTGGGGTGCAGGGCTGGTTGTGCACACATGTGCGTGTACATGTGTGGGAGAGGGCTTTCTCACTCCTGCAATATCTGGAGAATACGGCTTGTCAGGACAGTCGCTCCTCGGGCAGATTCGTACTTGCGAACTCACTGACTCACTGGATTTATTCATAGCCCACGAGCAGCACTTCAGGCCTGCACGATCATCCAGATGTGGCCGAGTGGGGAAGTGGGAGTCCCTGTGTGCTCCGGCTGGGTCTCTTCCACTCCTCTTCCCCACCGACCTTGTGCTCTGAATCCGTTCCTCTTTAGAGACGATCTCTGAAGCCAGCTACATGAAGGAGGCTGTGGAGACTATGCCGGAGACGCTGGAGTATGGAATCATACACAGTCGCGTGCTGCATGTCCTGAAGGACATCGTATGCCAGGCACGTGCGGGCACAGGGCGCGGGTGCGGCCTCTCTAATCCCATCTGACTCGCTTACTCCACAAGGGGGCGGTGGGCAGCTCTCCTGCTGCAGGCATGGTCCTGGGCAACGCGCACCCTGCCCTCCTGGGGCTTATTCATGGGGGGGGGGGGGGCACACAAGTGGATCAAGGAGCTATTGAGTGGCGGGAGGAAAACAACCCCCAGCAGTGCTGCAGAAATGAGCTCTGTATGTGCATGTGCATGCCGTGGGTGGTGGCGAGGACGGCCTTGCTGAGGAGGTGATGTCTGAACCCGGAGAACCAAAAACCGTGTGCCGGCTTCGTAGCCTAGTGATTGAGGGAGCTGGATCTCACAAGGCCAAGTGCTGTTTGAACCCTGGCCGGCGGGAGGAAAACAACCCCCAGCAGTGCTGCAGAAATGAGCTCTGTATGTGCATGTGCATGCCGTGGGTGGTGGCGAGGACGGCCTTGCTGAGGAGGTGATGTCTGAACCCGGAGAACCAAAAACCGTGTGCCGGCTTCGTAGCCTAGTGATTGAGGGAGCTGGATCTCACAAGGCCAAGTGCTGTTTGAACCCTGGCCTGAGAGTTTGAAAACCATACCTTCGTGAGCCAGAAACACTTATCATTAGTGAAACTGGTCTGTTTGTGAGTTTTGTAATAAAAATTTGTTTTCTAATTGACAGAGGGGTATGTGTGTTCACCAAAGACAGACAGAGAGACACGGGAGAGAGAGAAAGCACCCCCTCGCGAGACATGGCCGTGCTGCAACCCTCTATTCCTCCATCCTCGTTGGGATTTGGGGCGTGCATACACATGGGCCTGGTGTGTTTCTCAAGCCACCGGGGCCAGGATTCAAACTGCAGGCACCCACGTGGCATCCAGTTTCATACACACAGTGCTTAACTGCTATGCTACGGTGCTCCTTTTGGAAGTATTTGAGCTAATAAAAAGAAATATTTTACAATGAAAATTTTCCCATTTTGCAACCTCCAATGGATTTGTGGATTTAGGCACTGGGTGTCAAGGGCGAGAGAGAGAAAAAGAGAGAAGAAGGAGGGAGGGAGAGAGGACCAAGCTTTATGCGTCCTGACAGAACACCACCAGTGGCCTTGGAGGAGGCATCCCAGTGCGGTCTCTGGGCTGAGCTGCCAGTTTGCAGGAAGGAAAGGAAAGTTGTTCAGCTGCACATAGGTGTGCAGCCTGAGGACCCAGATGGGGCTCTCTCCAAGTCCAGTGTTCTGGGTTCTTCTGTGATGTACAGTAAATACACATAGACTAAGAATCCTCAAAGATACGTCAAACTTTTAAGAAAAATAGGCAAAAGTAAAAACAAGAACCAAGCCCAGTGGACCGGCCCACCACAGGCATTGGCAGGCCACTGTTGCAGGGCAGGAGGTTGGTTGTGGTCGTATCAAAGTGACCTCACAAATGCACACGCTTTCCCCAGCTGAGTTCCCAGCTGATGGTCCCACAGCCAGAGTATTCAGTCAGAGGCAGTTTAAGTGGTCGGCCGTGATGCGGTGCGATTTGTTTTATATTTTTACTTATTTTATTTAGTTAGTTTTTAAAAGAGGTCTTTGCGCATGTACCCGCCAGAGCGAAAGAGAGAGACAGTAAGAGGGAAAGTGAGAAATCATACCCCGGAGGGGATGGCCAGACTACCATCCCTTCTCCTCCATTCTCCTCCCAGGATCTTGGGCACATACGCACATGTGCCCAGTGTGATTTTCAAGTCACCGGGTCTGGGACTCCACCTGCAGTGGGCCAAATGGGAATCCAGTGACTTAACTGCTATGCCATCTGCCGGCCCCGGTGTGATTTGTTTTACAAATTGGCATTCCAGGTTTTCCTGCCAGCATTGTCCTTCAATCAGCACAAGATGGACGCGGCCGCAGGCCTGGTGTCTGGCGACGCCTCTGCTTCTGAGTATGACATGGCGGTCCCTAGCATGCCTGGGGAATCGGTAGAATTTCACAGCATTCAATTAATACGGGATGAATTTTTAATGAACATTCAGAAATTTGCAAGTAGTATTCAAAGAACAATGCAGCAACTTGAAGGTAAGGTTTCATTTTCCCCTTCTTTTTTCTTTTCTTTTTTTTTTTTTGAGAGGTTTTCACTATAGGGCGCGTGTGCTCGCCAGACAGACAGAGAGAGACAGAGAGACAGAAAGCGAGAAATCACCCCCCAGGGGGGATGGTCACACCGCAATCCCTTCTCCTCCATTCTCCTCTCGGGATCTTGGGCACGCACGCACACGCGCCCGGCGTGAGTTTAAGCCACCAGGTCCGGGACGTGAACCGCGGTCAACTACGTGGGAGTCCAACGACATAGCCATTACGCTAACTGCTGGTCCCCCACTTTCCCCTTCTTAAGAGGGATTCATTTACTCTAAAAAGGCAATTTAAGAGTTTAGGGGTGAGGGTCCAGCAGGTGATTAAGGCACTGGACTCCCACATGGCCAACTGCTGTTCAAGCCCAGACTAGGTTGCTTGAAACGGCTTGAAAATCACGCCAGGTGTGTGTGGTTCAGATCCCAGGAGGACAGCGGGGAAGGGGAATGTGATATGGCCTTCCCTGGAGGGCGATTTCTTACTTTCCCTGTCTCTGTCTCTCTCCAGTGAGCTCATGCACCCTATAGCAAAAAGCCAAAGCAAACCAAAAAAGAGTCTGAAAGAGAGAAGAGTGAACCGTTTTTCCAGCTGCTGGGGCTGGGACTCAAACCATGGTCCGCCATGTGGGATTTGGCTTCTTCTGAGCAATGCCGAACCACTACACTACAGAGCTGGCCCTCGATGTTGATTTATAAAGCTCTTCGAGGGGCCAGACAGGGCAGACAGTGTTGTGGTGGTAAGGGGCAGTGCTCCGTGAGGCAGTCAGCATGGGAAGGGGTCCTGTTCAAGTCTGGAGACCGTCTCAGTACTCTGGGTACTTCTTGTCCATGGTCCGGGCTGGCTGGGGCTGGGGGCAGACCCTATTGGGGGTGCTGTCTCTTCTTCTCTCATTCATCAAAGAAAGAAAGAAAGAAACTTTAAAAAGCTTCTTTACCCTTTTTCTTCAAGATGCATAATAACACAAATGTCTGATATTGCTACAAAGTAAATTTAAACAAAAATTTGCTGTGGGGCACATATGCTCACTGGAGAGAGAAAGTGAGAGGAAGAAACCAAGAAAGCACCACTCCCTCCCAGGGGAGACGGCCACACTGCAGTCCTTTCTCCTCCATCTTCCTCTTGGGATTTTGGGCATTAATGCACATACGCCCAGTGTGATTTTCAAGGTACTGGGTCCAGGACTTGAATTGCACAACTGGCCCTGTGGGATCCAGTGCCTTTACCACATTGCTGGCTGACCTGTACAATGTGAATCTTTAATATGCATACATTATCTGAGTATGCTTATATCAAATGTGGTTAGAGTAAACATAGGTTAGTATAGTCACGCTCTGTGTAATGGCGTTTCAGTTGGTGACGCACTGTATACGCGACAGTGGTCCTGTGAGATTATAGCAGGCTGTGCCAGGTCGCCCAGGTGTGCAGCAGGTGCACTGCCTAGGCTGCGCAGGTGCAGTCAGAGACGTCCAGGGTGTGTCCCTGCCATTGAGGGATAAGTGAGTGTATGGCTTATGTACATGCACATGTGCACTAAATTTCCTAACAGTAATACGTACATAAAGTTTAACAATGACGGGGTTTAGACTGGCCCCGGAGTGCAGTGGTTAAGGGAACTAAATCCCACATGGCTGAAAACAGCTAGGTCCCACCCGGCCTCAGTGGCTTGAGAAACATCCTGAGTGTGTGTGCACGTGTACCCAAATTCTTAACAGGAGGGAGGAATTGAAGGTCAGAAATGGTGTCATGACCAAGCCCCACTGGGGCGTGTTCTCTCTCTCTCTCTCTGGCATTAAAAAAAAAGAAACACACTACAGTTGGGACCAGCAGATGGCATAACAGCTATGTTGCTGGGCTCCCATGTAGTTGACTGTGGCTCAAGTCCCGGACCCGGTGGCTTTAAACTCATGCTGGGCGCGTGTGCGTGCGTGCCCAAGATCCCGAGAGGAGAATGGAGGAGAAGGGATTGCAGTGTGGCCATCCCTGGGGGGTATTTTCTCACTTTCTGTAACTCTGTCTCTGTCTTTCTGGTGAGTGCACATGCCATATACCAAAACCGCTCAAAAAAAAAAAAAACCAGTGGAGTATTAACAGATATTAATAATGACAAAAATGACAAAATGATCCTGCCTCACTTTCCCTATCCGTCAGTTCTACTTCCTCACGGTGATTTCTTTTCTTTTTAAATAATTATATATTTCATTTATTGTTCTTACTATTATTAAGCTTGCTATAGGACACATGCATTCACCAGAAAGAGACAGAGAGGGCAAGTGAGAAAGCAAGGTGTCGGATCTGGAACTTGAACCGTGGTCAGGCATGTGGGAGCTCAGTGTCCTCACTACCACGCCACCTGCTGGCCTGACAGAGACGTCTAAGAGAAGTTGTTTCTGTGGACAGTTGCTACCATGTCTCTAAGGCATATGCTCTCACTGCTATTTCTTCTTCTCTTTTTTTGATTGTTTATTTAATTAAAAAGAAAACAAACATCTTTGCAAAAGGGTGCATGGACTTGCCAGAGAGAGATGGAGAGGGAGAAAGCACCCCCAGGGGGTGATCACCCTGCAGTCCCTTCCCATTCGTTTCTCCGTCCTGTCGGGATCTGGGACGCACACATACGTGTACCCTGTGTTTGTCAATTGCTGGGCAGTGATTTGAACCGCACAGTTGACCGTGTGGGATCCAGCTCCCTAAACCGCTAGACCATGGGGGGCACTCTGTTGAAGATTTTAGAGTTAAATTGCTAAATGATCTGATCGAGCTTAATACTGGAGCAATGTTCTAAAATGTTTTCATTACATTCTAATGAAAGAGAGGGCGATGCAGACAGACTAGGGCGGGGTGTGTTAGAGCGTGCTTTACCGGGGCGGGGCGAGAAGGGCCAGCTGGGAGCACGACATCAGCGTTTGCAATCGTTCCCCCCAAACTAGCGGCCCCCTGACTGTTGTCCTACCAGGCGAGATCAAGCTGGAGATGCCAAGCATCAGTCTGGAGGGCGAGGTGTCTGATCTGGCCACTCAGCCGGAGACCGTGGAGGCGCTGGAGCAGTGTGTGATAAACTGGCTCAGTCAGATTTCGTCAGCCGTGGAGGGCCAGCTGAAGAAGACACCTCAGGTAACGCCTGTGGGTGGCCCTCGCCACCCTGGGAGCCGAGGGCCAATCGCTTCCATCTGCCTTCTTCTCGTACTGTCTTGGGACTTCCTTAGAGGATCCGAGTAAACATACCCAAGGTGGGCTTGTGATGTCAGTGTGCTGGCAGACTACTGCCCGGGTGGTAAAGATCACATGGGGCCAGCAGGTGGCGTGGTGGTTAGGGTCCTGGACGCCCACAAGCCGACCAAGGTTTGAGTCCCAGACCTGGAGACTTGCTTTCTCATCCCCCCCGCCCCTTCTGCTAAGCATGTGTCCTATACTAAATAAATAAATAAAATATTGAATAAATAATTCTTTTATAAAAAAGATCATACTGTGTGTATGTCAGGGTGTGTGGCCTGCTAGAAACAGGGATCCCAATTTAACTAGCTTAACTAAGAGAGAGAATTCCTTGGCTCACAGCTGGGATGTTCAGGTGCCTCTGCAGGATGATTTCTACCGTGGCAGCCACATGCCACACAGTATCTGGCCCCACCTGCACGCCTGACTGCCCAGAGAGGCGTGTCCTTGCCTCGCATTCCCAGCCGGAGTCCTGAGCGTCATCACGAGGCCTCCTGTTCGGAGCAGTCAGAAGAGAGGAATGGACGCTGGTGAACCCCCATGTCTACCCCACACTGACACGAGTGCTCTCTGTACGTCGATGTCTCCTCTCAGGGCAATGGCCCTCTGGCCGAAATCGAATTCTGGAGGGAAAGAAATGCCACCTTGAGTGCACTCCACGAGCAAATGAAACTCCCGGTGGTCAGAAAGGTCCTGGAGGTGATCAAGGAGGCGGAGTCCATGCTGGTGGCCAACCTGCAGCCCGTGTTCCTGGAGCTGTTCAAGCTGCACATGGAGGCCTCGGACAATGTGCGCTTCCTGTCCACGGTAGAGCGGCACTTCAAGGTGGGCTGCCAGGCAGGGCTCTGGAGGGGCAGCCCCGTGATGGGGCACAGGTCGGTGGCGTGAGTCCCAAGCCCTTCAGAGCGCTCTGTGCCCATCCACCATCTGAGTGCAAGATTTTCACCCTCCTGGGGCCAGCAGGTGTGTAGCCACAGCAGAGCCCGGGCAGAAGCAGGAAGTGGAGGGGCTGATGGAGAGCAGCAGGGCAGGTGGCAGGCTGAGTGCTCTTGTGGGCTGCCACCCACGACATGTGTCCCTGACGTGTCCTGTGGTGTGTGTGTTCAAGAAAGACACTCTACACACACGTGTGTCTAGTATGCAGACGGAAAAGCAGGAACGTGTCCATATGTCCTTGCCTTTCCGCAAGCTGTGCTATGTACATTGTATATCTTCTCTATTTCCATGTCAGCATGCCCCAACTGCTTTCAGGCTTCTTTCGTTTATTTAAATTTATTATTTTTATTATTTATTTTTAAAAATTTGCTATAGGGCACTTGAGTTCACTAGACAGAGAGAGAGAGAGAGAGAGAGAGAGAGAGAGAGAGAGAGAAAGCTGTGAGGTCAGGGACTCCAACCATGGTTGGCCACGTGGGAGTCCAGCACCCCAACCACCACGCCTCCTGCTGGCCCCATAAATTAATTTTTGTGAGTTAAGAAGAACGAACCTCTTACACGCTTACTGTTTATGAAACCCCTCGAGGCCCGAGGCTAAGACCACTTGTGTCTCTCTCTCTTTGGCATGCGGCTCTCGGCCAGAACATAACACACGGCGCCAGCTTCCACGTGGTCCTGGACACCATCCCCTCCATGATGAGCGCGCTGCGGATGGTGTGGATCATCTCGCGGCACTACAACAAAGACGAGAGGATGATCCCGCTCATGGAGCGCATCGCCTGGGAGATCGCCGAGCGGGTCTGCAGGGTGGTCAACCTGCGCACGCTGTTCAAGTGAGTGGCCCCACACTCGGCCTCCTTGCGTCTTTGTTTGTTTTATTTTTCTTGTTTTGTTGTATTTATTTTATTTTATTTAAAAATATTTAATTTAATTTTATTTTGTTTATTGTTACTATTTTTTAATTTGAACAGAGAGAGAAAGTGAGAAAGCAAGCCACCAGGTCCAGAACTTGAACCGCTGTTGGCCATGTGGGAGTCCAGCACCTTAACAACCTTGCCACCCTCCAGCCCCCTTGTATTTTTAGAGGTTTGTGCCATAGGGTGTGTGCTTGCCAGAAGGAGACAGAGACAGTGAGAAGGAAAGTCAGAAATCACCCCTGGGGGGATGGCCACGCTGCAGTCCTTCTCAAGTCTTCTCCTGGGATCCTGGGCATGCGTGCACATGTGCCTGGCATGACTTTCAAACCACCAGGTCTGGGACTTGAACCATGGTCGGTCATGTGGGAGTCCAGCATCTTTAACCATCACGCCACCTCCCGGCCCCTATATGCACACTTGTAACTGAAGCTTTCCTTTCTAGTTATACTTGGAGAGGCTGAGGCATAGGGTCGGAGGGTCCTCAGTCCTGGACCCCTCTTGGGCAGAACAGCCTTTGAGATGTTGAGGGAGATGGAGATCTTTTTTTCACTTTCTTGAAAAAAGTCTGTAAGTTGAAATAGGTACACGATCTCGGCACCTGACTCCAGTGCTCTCTCTGGCCCGGGTCCTAGCCACGTGCTGCCTGTGGCCCAGACAGAAGGCCCACCGGCTCTGCAGGCTGGGCTGGCAGTCCTAGCTGGGCCCTTGCAGGTGGCTGTGAGCAGCTGCAGCCGCTGTGGCGAGCCTCCACCAGGGGGCGGTGCAGTTAGGGCGGCAGGTCAGGACCCCCAGATCCCTGCTCCCCTGGGGCCGCTGGTGGCCTCCCCTCTCTTCATAGCACTTCTGCTTTACAGAGAAAACCGAGTGAGTGCACAGCACAAAACCCTGGAGGCCAAGAACACGCTCAAGATGTGGAAAAAGGCCTATTTTGACATCCGGGCCAAGATCGAGGCCTCGGGCAGGGAAGCTCGCTGGGAGTTTGACCGGAAACGGCTGTTCGAGAGGACGGATTACATGGCCACCATCTGCCAGGACCTATACGACATTCTGCAGGTAGGGAGGCCGTGGGGGGGTCAGGGAAGTGCTGGGGTGGGCACGGTGTCCGCATGACGACGTGGGGGAGGCGGGCAGGAAGTGTGACTCAGGCCTGGCCCGTCTGCAGGGGTGACATGAAGAGGTGTGTACGAGGACTAGGAGCTGAAGTGGCTGTGTGAACTGGGAGTGCAAAGGCCCGAGACAGAAAGGAACGTGGACCTGAGGGGGCTGGGTGACCACGGAGTCGGGAGTGGTCAGAGGAGGAGGCAGGGTCCAACATCTGGAGATACAGCTCTTGAGAACCACATCCCGGCATCTGGTTTACCCCACACGCGGTGGGCATAGTACCAAAGGGCTTAGGTGGGGAGGAGGTCGTCCGTGGGACACCATTCCCTCAGGTAAACCCAGGTCCCTGGCCACGGGGAGCTACCCGCTCCCCACCGAGCAGAGCGTTCACGAGAAAACCCGAAATGCATCCTCCTGGTCGTTCTGTCTGGACAGGTCATGGAGGAGTTTTACAACATATTTGGCCCGGAACTAAAGGCCGTGACGGGGGATCCCAAGCGCATTGATGATGTCCTGTGTAGGGTGGATGGCCTGGTCACCCCCATGGAGAGCCTGACCTTCGACCCCTTTAGCATCAAGTCCTCCCAGTACTGGAAATACGTGATGGATGACTTCAAGATCGAAGTTCTGGCAAGTACCACGTCCATGGAGGCCACCCGGGAGGTGGTCGCCAGGTTTTCCCCACCTGAAGTTCTGGGATTGGGCCAGTGCTCTGGCCCAGTGGCTAAGGAGCTAGACCCACATGGCCAACCACACGGTTCTAGTCCTGGACTCAGAGGCTTGAGAAGCACACCGGGCGTCTGTGGGTGCATGGCCACGCCCCAGCAGGGTGGAGAAATGGAGAAGAGACCATTCCCCACGGGGCAATGCCCTCTCCCTCTTCCTTTCCCTGTCGGCAGGGTGGAGAAATGGAGAAGAGACTATCCCCCACAGGGCAATGCCCTCTCCCTCTTCCTTTCCCTGTCTCTGTGAGCGCGCACCTCTGGCTTATAAACGAACAGGCAGAATGTACTGGGTTATTTAGTGATGCTTAGAGGTTTATTTTTCCCCCCAGAAAAGGTAATACTTGCTTATTTGCTAAAAACATAAGGTGAAAAGGGCATTCCTTCATCCTCGGTCCTGTTTGCCAGATGCCATGTTTATGCCTTTACAGTTTATTTATCATTATAGAGCATGCAGGCACACGAGAGCGAGCGTGAGCGCGAGCAAGACCCTCGGCAGGGTCTCTCCACACCACGACCGCTGCTCCTCAGGGTCTTGGGCACAGGGGTGCATGCCTGGCATGTTTTGGGCCACTCGGGATGCAGACCCGAAGTGGACTGCGTGGCTTCCAGCACTGCGGCTCGGTCCAGTGCCCCCTGTACACCTCGTTTACTCCTCTGTGTTGCTGGAGCACATTTCTCTGCTGCTTCCCAGGAAAGGTTTCACAGGCTGTGTGTTTCCTCAGTCTTCTACGTGTGAGTTCTGAAATTCTAGGTCGGTACAGAGATCAGAGTTGAAAATAACTTCTCTTGAGAAATGTGAAGGAGTCCTGGGCGTGCACACACTTGCACCTGGAGTGTTTTTGAAGCTGCCAGGTCTGGACCTCGAACCATGTAGGCAGCCATGTGAGACCCAGCCACTCTAATCACCACGCCAATGGCTGACCCAAGTTAACTTTAAAAATCTCTTACCTACCTTTTTTTAAAAATATATATATATAGATTTTTGCTATAGGGTGTGTATACTCCCCGGAGAGATAAAAAAGTGAGAAATCACCCCAAAGGGGGGATGGCCACGCTGCAATTCCCTCTCCTCATTTTTCCTCTCAGGATTTTGGGCATGCATGCACATGCGCCCCGTGTGAGTTTTAAACTGCTGGGTCCGAGACTCAAACCATGGTTTACTACATGGGAGTCCAGCGACGTAGCCATTATGACATCTGCTGGTCCCTCTGTTTTCTTTTTTTAAGTGCATTTGTTTTTCTAGGCGAGAGCAAGCTAGATGCAGTACCCCAACAGGATGCTGACCCCATTCTCCATCCTCGCTCAGCCAGTGCATATTATGGTCGTGTGGACACCTGCTATACTCAGGGAGGTGTCTGGCCGAGAACCGTCAACCTTTCCATCTGGAGCTGCTTTGTGTTTTATCACTGCGCCACTGTCCGGCCTGTTCTTACCATTTTGATCCAGGGCGAGAGATCAGAAAACCAGTACAGCCAATCCACCATTTCGATCAGACAGTAATGTCCACTATAATGTGATAGAAATCTCTCCCACGCCACTGTTTTGTCTTTTGTTTCTTACCACTTTGTTTTCGCAGGATGATGACAGAAGCATGGGGGGCTGTTTTCTTGATTTTATTTATTTATTTATTTTTTGCAGGTCATTGAGAAAGAAGCAAAAAATTTTATTGATGAATCTTTTAAGAAGCTTCGATCAGCTGAAGCAGCCTTTGACATGCTTTTAAAATTTAAGCACATTCGTTCACGGGAGGCTATTAATCGACAAATGATGATGAAATTTAACGACATCCTGGCCCAGTATTGCAAAGAGGTAATTGAAATCTGAGAGCTGCCAGAGCAGTCCAGCACCCTGAGTAGGAGGGAGACAGCTGACCACGCTCTTCTCTGTCTTCCGTGTCTGAAGATGGGGAAGACGGGGAGACGGGGAGTCTTCCCCAGGAGCCATATCACTGAACGTGGGTAACCCAGAGTGGGTTTGTCTAGTCAGTGGGGAAAGCTGGGGAGAATTTGCCATGCGTGATGGTTTTCTCCCTTCGGTGGGCCCTGGGTGAGTTAGTAATAATACAGTAGTGATAGTGGCCACAGCCACACATGTCCGATGAGCACATGGGGATTTGTAATGAACTCAGAAAAGCTCACCCGTATGCCCGTATTGGAGGACAGAGTTAGACACAGGGTCATAGCATAGCTCTGCTATGAGAGTTCTGCTTTCAGAGAGCTCGGTGTGACTGGGAGAAACACACACACACACACGCATGCACACAAACATGCACACGGTGGTAACCTTGTTCAGAAGGTGAGTTCAGCA